GTTAGTCTTGAACTCAAGATTCTCCTGCCTCAGCCTTTCAAGGACTAGGATTACAGATGAGCACCACTACACCTGGCTTTGCTAGGCAGGTACTCTATCACTTGAGCCATAAGACCTCTGCCTCAGATTTTAAATGAAATGATATAGATAGATAAACACATATGTATCTTTTACAAAATTGGACCATATCAGTTTTTTTGTTATTGTTGCTGTTTCGGGGTTGTTTTTTGTTTTTGTTTTTTTGGTACTATGGATTGAAAAAAGGCCCTACTACGGAGGGTCTTGTTTATGCTAAGTACTTACTGTACCACTGAGCTATACCCAGTCCAGACCAATTTATAACCTGCTTTTGTGATTTTGTTAAATAACCCTTAAAAATATTTTTTTTATTTTTATTTTATTTTTGCTCTCCTGTTCCTGAGTTTTTTTTTTTATTAGCATATTTATTGTACTGGGGGTACATTGTGAGAGCCTTTTATTTTCTTTGAGACAGGGTTTTGATATATAGCCCAGGTTAGTCTTGAACTCAAGATTCTCCTGCCTCAGCCTTTCAAGTACTAGGATTACAGATGAGCACCACTACACCTGGCTTTGCTAGGCAGGTACTCTATCACTTGAGCCATAAGACCTCTGGCCTCAGATTTTTAAATGAAAATGTATATAGATAGATAAACACATATGTATCTTTTACAAAAATTGGACCATATCAGTTTTTTTGTTATTGTTGCTGTTTCGGGGTTGTTTTTTGTTTTTGTTTTTTTGGTACTATGGATTGAAAAAAGGCCCTACTACGGAGGGTCTTGTTTATGCTAAGTACTTACTGTACCACTGAGCTATGACCCAGTCCAGACCAATTTATAACCTGCTTTTGTGATTTTGTTAAAATAAACCCTAAAAATATTTGTTTTTATTTTATTTTATTTTTGCTCTCCTGTTCCTTGAGTTTTTTTTTTTATTAGCATATTTTATTGTACTGGGGGTACATTGTGACATTTACAAAAGTGCTTACAATATATCTTAGTTAGATTCACCCCCTCCATCATGCTCCTTTACCTCCCCTCTGCCCTTTTTTTTTTTGACAGGGTCCAGCTGACCTTCAACCCCTGCATCAGCCTCCTGAGTTCTGGGATTACCAGCTTGTGACATCACACCTAACTATAACCTACTTTAAAAGACACTTTCCTATATCAAATACAATACTGCATCTGCAATTTTATTTAACTTTTTGTTTCTTGAGACTGGATCTTACTATGTAGCCCAGGTTGGTCTCAAACTTATGACTCTCCTGCTTCAGGCTCCCAGTGCTGGGATTACAAGTGTGTGCCACCACCCCCAACTCAGCATCAACAATTTTAAATGTTATTTTTAAATTTAAATTATTTTCTTTAGGTGTTTTTTTGGTTTTGATAGTATTGGGGTTTGAACTCAGGGCCTCACATTTGCTAGGCAGGCACACTACTACTTGAGCTACTCCGCCAGTCCTTTTTTGTGTTGAATATTTTTGAAGTAGGGTCTCACAACTATTTACCCAGACTGGCTTTAAACCTCTATCCTCCTGATCTCTATTTCCTGAGTAGCTAGGATTATAGACACAATCACCAGCACCCAGCCTTCCTAACTTTTTATTAGAAAAATTTACCAGAATGGAAAGAATAGTTTAATGCACATCCATATGCCTTCCACTCATATTCAGAAATCGTTATCATTAGCCTATTTGGTGTCAGCACTTGACAATACTTAGTCTTATGAAGATAATACAGCCTGGCGGTTGAAAGTGAGGAGCCAATCTGCCTGGGTTTCAAAGCCAGGTCCACTATTTTCTACTCATGTTATTTGACCTTGGTCAAGATTCGGAACATCTCTCTAAGCCTGTTTCCTCAACTATAAAATAGGGTGACATCACAAAGATTTCAGATGATTAAATGGAGTAATGTTTGGCACATAATAAATGATCAGTAAATATTATTTAGGCACTTGTTTTATCTCCTCACTTTCCCAGGAAGATAGGGACAAGATCTTGACAAGTTTCACTTTAAATCTATGGCCATTAACCTCAAGAGGGCTCTTTCTGTCTGGTAATCCTGGTATATCTCACCAGATATCACTCTCTTACTTTCTTAGATGACTATTTCACTCATTCTCCACTTTTCTCAAACCCTTCTTCACTCTCAGATGACAAGTGCCCTTCTTGTTTCATTGAGAAAATAGCAGTCAGAAAAGAACTTTTATACATTCCTACTACATCTACCACCTTGTTTGCATCTATCCTGAGCCTTCATTCCTATGTTTTAAATGAATTGTCCATATTCCTATCTGAGGCCAACCCTTCCACTTATGACTAGATCTGGTTCCTCTTGTCTATTCAAGACCTCACTCTGGTAATTGTCCTCTATCTTGCATCATCAAATTTTCCTTCTCTGCTAAATCATTCCCATCAGCATTCAAATACACTAAATCTCCCATCCTAACAAGCACCATTCCATGGCCCCACATTCATCCCTAGCTACTGTCCAATTCTCCTGCTCCCTTTAAAGAAGACCTCTTTGCTAGAGGTCTCTGTACTCAAAAATCTATCAGTGGATCTATATTATTTTGCCATGAAACTTTCCTTAAGTCTGAATACTTTTTATTATTTCCATCACTACTTCCCTAGTCCAAGCTCCATCATCTTGTTTATACCATTCAAGACCCCTCTAATTGTTTCCCCTGGTTTCTCTCTTGGTCCTCTCTAGTCTAATCTCTACCCATTGGTCAGAGAAATCCTTTAAAAACATGCCACAGCCTGTTTTCCTCTGCCCCCAAACCTATAAAGCCTTTCCATCAACTCAGAAAACAAAGAAATCTAGTCTTTGCCCTGATTCAAAGAAATATATTTTGGATATCTACCCAATCTCATTTTTTTTTATGGGACTGAGGTTTGAACTCAGGGCTTCATGCTACTTACTGCTTGAGTCACACCCCCAGTCCATTTTGCTCTGGTTATTTTGAAGATTGGGTCTCATGAACTATTTGTCTGGGCTGGCCTCGGGCTGAGATCCTCCTAATCTCAGCTTTCCTAGTCACTGTGACTATCAGCTCTTACAGGCATGAGCTACCAGCTTTTGTCAATGTCACCAGTGATATACTCACGGTAAAACTCAATGGCAAGGCAGCAGATATAACTCAAACAGTAGAGCGTCTACCTATAGAGCAAGTGGAAAGCCCTGAGTTCAAACCCCAGTACCATAAAAAATAAAAAAAGACAAAACAAAAAAAACAAAACAATACACACACACACACACACACACACACACACACACCCTCAATGGTCAGTCTCAGTCTTCATTTTACTTGGCTTACTACAGAATTTGACATATTAAGCACTGTCTCTACCTGAAATATTTTCTTCACATGTTTTTTACATTGCTATAATCTCTTGGCTTCTCTCCTACCTGAATTCTCAGCAATCTTTGTTGATTTTTTTCTTCATTTCTGCAACTGTAATCACTGGAACATCCCAGGATTTGATCCTATTCTCTTCTCTATCTTAACTTACTCCTTCATGATCTCATTCAGTCTCATGGCTTTAAATGCCACCCCTATGTTAATAACTCCCTAGTTTACAGCTATAGCCCAGACCCTTCTTTAATTCATCTTCAATATACAATTACTTAGAAAAACATTTCCTTTTGAGCTATGCATTAGTGACTCACAATGAAATCCTGGCTTTTCAGAAGGCAGAGATCAGGAGAATCATGGTTTAAGGCCAGCTCAGGCAAATAGTTTGAGAGAGACCCTATCTTGAAAACACTCAACACAAAAAAGGACTGGTGGAGTGGCTCAAGCAGTAGAGCACATGCTTAGCAAGCACAAGGCCCTGAGTTCAAACACTGGTACCACCAAAAAAAAAAGTCTTGCCTAATTAATAGACATCTTGAGCTTTTTCATAAGTTTGATTCTCTCCCTAGACCTACTCCTTCTTCTGTCTTCTCCATCTCAGGTGGCAACTCAATTTTTTTCAATTCCTCAAGCCAATACCTTTCCTCAGGAGTCATCCTTGACTCCTCTCATTATCACAATACCACTTATCCAGTTAAAAAATCACACTGGAGGCTGGGGGCATGGCTCAAGTGGTAGAGCACCTGCCTGGCAAGTCCAAGGTTTTGAGTTCAAACTGCAGTACTGCTTCCTAAAATATATTTTAACAAATCACATTGGTCATAACTTGAAAATGACCACTTGCTGCTTCACTGACACCAGGCTGATTCAAGCTGCCATCATCTTCCGCTTGGTTTTTTGCAATACCCTCCTGATAGGCTTTTCTGCATCCTTTCTCATGCTCCTTTTGTGTAAATCACAAGTCTCCATTGTCTTCCCATATCACTTGTAGTAAAGCCAAACTCCTTAAGAAGACTTCCAAAATCCTACATAATCTCCTCGCACCCTAGTTAGCTCTCATTTGATTTCTATCCATCTTTCCTCCTTCTTCTCTCTACTTCAGCTACACTGGTCTCTTGCTAGTCTTCAACATGTTAATCAGCCTCCCATCCCAGGGTCCTTGAAAGTTCTTGCCACAGATATCCACAACCTTTACTCTCCCCTGTCCTTTAGGTCTTTGCTCAACTGCCACCTTTCAGAGAGGCTTTTCCTGACCACTCTAAATAAAAGTGTCGCCCCTCAGATCTCACCCAACACTCACCCCCTCTCTTCCCTACCATTTCCTATAGCATTTTCATCACCTAACGTCATAGTCATCTTATTATTTATTTGTCTGACTATCACTAGAATAAGCAGGGTTTCTTTGTCTTTGTCCTTTTTGATTTCCCTAGCACCAATACATAATTACTGAATGAATTCTGATGATTTTTTTCTTCTGCTCCTGATCTCAAGACCTACTTCTTCAAAAGACTAAAGAAATACACCTGGTCATAGGAGGGTTTGAGCAAGTATCTAAGAGGTCTAAGTGGATGGCACCTTAATGTTTCCATAAATATCTAATATTCTGTTTTTTTCTCCTCCAGCTTAACACTAAAACATCCCCAGCAACGAACCAGGCATCTGGCCCAGAGGAAAAAGGTGAGTGGTGTCAGACTAGATGGTTTGTAGAGCTGGGGTAGGGACATGAAGACAGCTGGGGTTGGAAACCTGGAAGCTCCTAAAGTCAGATGTCAGAAGAATGAGAATGTGGATAAGTGAAACAAAGGACTAGGTTAGACCTACTGTATCCATAGGCCTCTTTCTACTTTTTCCTAAGAAGTAATCTTTTCAGTATTCCTCTTTGATTTTAGAAACTAGGTCTGGAGTGATGGGAGAAGGTAATACAGTGACAAGAAGAAACTCATCAGATAATCCCAGTCTCTGTCTCCATTAGAAATTGAGGGAAAACTGGGGAAAGTGAGTGTGTTTTGAAACTTGAACTGTAGGATTTAAGAATAAGTCATAATAGAAGGCAGTTGTCATTCGGTCCAAGAAGCAAAGCTTCCCAAACTATAGCTAATTCTCAATCTAGGTATACTGACAGACTTTTAGGAGCATTATCAGGCATTTGTAGTCCCAGCAAAGATTAGGGGACCCCAAAGTCCAGCACAAAATGGACCCTAATCACTATATTTGGGACCTAGAGGAAGCAGCTGGAGTAGAGCACATCAACTTATTAATGTGTCTCCAACTGTCTCCAGGGAAGGCTGGCAGTGCCAAGAAGGCTGAGGAAGAGGAGGAGATTGACATTGACCTGACAGCACCAGAGACAGAGAAGGCTGCCCTTGCTATTCAGGGCAAGTTCCGGAGATTCCAGAAAAGGAAAAAGGATCCCAGCTCCTGAATGGCTATCCTTGCCCTTCACCTTGATTCTTTCTCTTCCTTTCTCCATAGTCCTGACTCCCATGTGTCTTGTCCCTTTGTCCTTTTAGCCTCTCATTGAGGCAAGTTCAACCTTTATATATTCTTTTCTGTAGTCCTCTCAAGTCATGACAGCTATAGTGGCAAAAGGAACATAGAGAAGATGAAGGCTTTAGTTGGCAGCCACTTGCCTAAGGGTATACCCGTGTCTTCTTGAGCTAAGGCTCTGGGTTAGTATTTCCCTGAAGGGTTGAAGAACTGGAGGCTTGAGGCTGAGAGGACTGCCCTCAATGATATGAGAGGAAGGGAAAATCCTTCAGAGTAGGGTGCCTAAGGGTAGGGCACATGCACTGTTCAGTCGGTTCAGGTGATGTTCTTTCTTTTTCAGATCCTTCTGCACCACCACCTTCACCTCCCTCCTATGATCGAAGCCACAGTGGGAATGGAGCCTCCATTTTCCCCTAGGCAGATCTAAATCAAACAGCTTACCCACATTAGTGCATGCTGAGTAGCCTAGTTCCAAGGAAGGAAAACTGGGACTGGTAGGGCAAGGAAAAGTTTCCTTCATCATCCAATCTAAGATCTTAAGGGCCAGAGGTGGGAGACATTCCAGAGGGAATAGGCAGGGAAATGAGGACTGAGGTAGATTTAGAGAGAAAAGAAAAATGAGGAAGACAGAAATCTCTGGAGCCATAAGTTATTGCTGGTAAATGTGTAATAGATAAATGATTCTTGGGGCTTTGCTAACCTGCCTACCTCTAACCCCCAACTGTAGCCATCCCCAGAGACCACAGGAGCCAAGTGACCCCTGTAGTTCTCACCTGTCCCACTGAGGAGTCAGGGCAGAAATGGAATAGCCACTCTATGTGATTTTAGCATGTTTAAAAATTATAACAATAAAAAAAACCCTCAAATGGAGTCATTGAACCTTTACTAGTGTCTTTTTTCTTGGGAGGAACATGAATGTAAGCTTGACCTGACCCCAGGGAGGATAGGGGGACAACTGCATGAATTACATGGTGACACAGGAAACTAATACTGCCTGAGCAATTTTCACCTGAAGCCAGTCCTACCTTTCTTTCTCTGACCTTGCCCTCACCTTGTTGTGCCACCCACCTGTGGTTCTCTTCAGCTGTCACTGCCCCCAGTGCACACCTGCAAGTGATCATCTTCCTGCTCTCCTGCCAGCAAGAGCACACTTGGTACACATCCCTCTGAAAACAAACCTAATCTTCCTTGCTCCCTATCACCAAATGACCTATCCTAGATTTCCCTCCTGCTGGTTCCTCCCCCCACATCCTCCCCGCCCCCCCAGTGTTTATCAAACTTAAGGAAGGAGACAAAGACTCTGGTTACTAAAGAGCACCACTGTTGCACTGAAGATTTTAAACCACAAGTTGAATTAAAACATGGCTTTCAAGTGAGCTTGCATTACTGAAAATTGATCTCTGTATTTTGAAACAGAATGCAAATGATTGATGACCGAGCAAAGAATATCTACCCTTGCCACTCTCTGCACTTTTATTTTCCAAAACAAAAAAAAATTTTTTTTTTTGAGATAGGGTCTCAGTATGTAGTGCAAGCTGGCCTGGAATTTGTGATCCTCCTGCCTCACCCTCCTAAGTGCTGGGATTACAGGCATCAAATTTTTACTATGGCAAAATATACATAATATAAAAATAATCATCTTGAAGATTTTAAACTATACAGTTCAGTGGTATTACAAAACACAAGTGATGTGTAACCATCATCACTATCTCCATGGTGATGGCTACACCATCACCATCCTTTTCATCTTGTAAAACTGAAACTCTATACCCTTTAAATAATAACTTCCGTTCCCTGAACACTACTCTTCTACTTTTTGTTTATGATTTCCCCTTACTTCTTAGTATTTACTCTTCCTTTCTTGATTCAAGAATATAGAAATCAAGTTGGGCATGGTGGTTCACACCTGTAATCCCACCTACTTGAGAGACAGAGGTGGGAGGATTGCAAATTTGAGCCCAGCCTAGACAAAGTCAGACCCTGTCTCAAAGGTAAAGTACAAAAGGGCATGGCTCAACGGTAAAGTGCTTGCTAGGTTCAAGGCTCTGGGTTCAATCCCCAGTAATACACAGATACACACACACACACAGACGCGCACACACGCACACACAAATATAGAAATCAAAACCATGCAGCAGCCATGAATAAGAAACAAGGGATAATATCACTGAAAGGCAGCCTGTATCCCAAAGTTTATTACTGACAAGCAAGCCCAGGTTATGGGATACTAAGAGAATCAAGCAGTAATTCATGAAAAAGGCCTATTGTTAAAGTAAGTACCTCTTCCTGGTGCTAGAGAAAAGAAAGAAGTTTTACTTCCTTGGAGTCTGTTGAGAGTGTAATATAGTAATGAAGGTAGCCTTCTCAGCCTCACAAGTAAATAAAAGAATAATCTCACTGCCATACCTGGTGTGTGTCCTGGTAAAATAAGAGTATTTCCTGTTCCCTTGTTCCATGGATGAGATGAGAATTGACTGGAGCTGTACCTTGGTCTGCCCCTATGGATGCTGAGGCCAGGCAGTGCTATCTAATCCTGGTGATGTGGGCTTTTGAGAGTTGGCTGGTGCCAAGGCAGTGGTGGAATTCTCTGTCATCAGCGCTCCTCCAGCTTGGATTTGTTTTTTGTCACGCTGATCTGGAACCTATTGCTGAAGTGACTTTTCCTTCACCATCTCTTACTCCTTAAAGTGCTATTCTTGTCCTCATACATATTTTAATGAAGGACATAGTAGCAAACACATAATCACTGCTTTAGGAAAGATAATTCTGACAAGGAAGAGAGACTTAGGCATCATTTGCTGAACCAATGGTAGTTCTCAATAAAGTTTCTAACATCTGATTTCTCTCTGCCACATTGCTTATTTCAGTCATGGACACTTGCATTGAGCCTCTTCTTTCTAGCATACCTGAAACTCTTCCTTGAGGTCAGCTCCTTGAGAGCTCCTTCTTGAGGCTCCAGAATCCTGCTTCTCTTCTCTGTCCCTTTAGTACATGCTGCTAAAGAAATGATCCTTGAGTACTAATCACTGAGTTTTTCTTGAGTACTTTATTTTCTGGAACAAAAAACTGTAAGTCTTTGGGTGCATTGGTGAATGCTGTTGTAAATGGCTTAGCAGAAGAGATAGGCAAAAGAAATAGTGGAGGAAGAAAGCCAAAAGAAGCCGGGTGCTGGTGGCTCACACCTGTAATCGTAGCTACTCAGGAGGCAGAGATAAGGAAGATCATGGTTAGAAGCCAGCCTAGGCAAATAGTTAGCAAGACCCTATCTCAAAAATACCCAACATAAAAAGTGGTGGTGGAGTGACTCAAGTGGTAGAGCACCTACCTAGTAAGTGTGAATTCCTGAGTTCAAACCCCAGTACCACCAAAAAAATAGAAAAAAGAAAACTAAAAGAAAAAAAAAGTTATACTCAACACTTCTGACACCAAATGTATGAGTTTTCCCCTCACATTACGCAATTCTCCAACTCTCCAGAGACCCTCGTCTACAATTCAATTATGACACTAACTACCTGGAGTTATTAATGCCATTTGTAAGACCCAGTTTGTGATCTGTACTTCTGGCCAGCCACCTGTAAATTAGGAAGTTCCTTAACCCCTTCTTCCTGTTTGACAATTTGCTAGAATGACTTATAGAACTCAGGAAAATGCTTAATTTTCTATTTTTGGTTTATTATAAAGGATACAGCTCAGGAACAGCCAAAGGAAAGAAATATGTAGAGCAATGTATGGGGATGGGGGTGCTTGGAGCCCTAGCTCAACAATCTGAAAGCTCTCTGAACCCTGAACATGGCTTCATTACATAAGCATGACTGATTAAATCTCTGACCGTTGGTGTTTCAATCAGTCTCCAGCCCCTCTCCCCTTCCTGGAGATCAGAGTGGGGCTGAAAGTTTCAATCCTCATATCAGAAGATTGAGTTCTCTGGCAGCTTCCTATTCTCCCAGAGACATCTTGTGAGTATAAACTCCAGTATAGTTGAAAGGGGCTTATTATGAATAAAAAAAAGATATTTCCCTCACCCTTATCACTCAGGAAATTCCAAGGGTTCTAAGATCTCTGTGCCAGGACCTAAGGATAAAAATCAAACATATTTATCTTACTATCTCACAGTGTCACACTCATACCACTCATTTCTGTTTTGGTGCTTTTTCAGTTGCATAAGGGTGACACAGCTGGGACTATAGTCCTGACCAAGGTGGAAGAGTTCTGGAGATCTAAGCAAGGGATAATATATTCCCAAAGCCCAAAGTTGGAGATGAGGGTATTTTGGGGGTGGGAATTCAGGCAGCCAAAGGGCAAGGATTCTGCTTTCTGTCCCACTCCTACTTTCAGAGCCTTGGTGTTGTTGCTGGGGAGCACTATTGACTTCATGCTGATCTTGCCGCAATGTAAAACCACTTCTTCCACTTCCATCTCTTCCATAGTTTCCTCTTGCTCCTTTTGGGGAGCTGCCATTTTTTCCCACTTCTTTGTTTCTCTACAACTCTTGCCCTTGCTTAGTTTTCCTTATTTCTGGAACTGTTTGCAGTCGGAGTGGCTCCAGGCAGCTTCCTCATCCCTGCTGTACTCAGTGTCTGAGAACCAGCGCTCACTGGACTCACTTTCCAGTGAGTTTCTGTCTTCCTGTCCTTCATCATCTCTCCAGATGTAGTCTCTCTGCTGTCTATGCCTCTAGAAACTAAGAGTTTGGGGATTAAGTAGTTTTCTTTTTATATTAAGTTGAATATCACTGATGCCTTTTTTTCTGATGTTCAAGTGACAGCTCTGACTCCAGAACTACAAAAGCAGAGAATCACAGTCTACAGATATGCAGACAATTATCTTGTTCACAAAACAGTGTTGTCTTGGCTCATTCCTCCTTGGCTATTTGTCTCTTGCAGTCATCAGGTTAGGATGGTATTGAGGTCCTTCGTTCCTCTCAGCCTTCTAGTCTTCCCTTAGTGCTTATTCATCATCATGATTGTTAATCAATTCAAGCTCTGAGAACGGAAAAGTAAAAGAATTTTATTCAGGGGTCTTAGGAAATGCAGTTAGGGAGATAGATCCAGATAGCATTGATTAAGTGTTTTGAAAGAGGCAGGGAAAGTGGGAGTTTATATACACAAGCATGCTGATTTATTGCAA